ATTCCCTGGTGGCCTTTTCTACCTGATGGTATTATCATTTTCTGTCCTTAGGCCATTCCTTCCATTACTTGATATTTTCTTTTCAGAAAGAAGAGAAAGGAAAAAGGAGGGAAAGAGAAGTGGAGAAAGGAGAAAGCAACTTAGACACTGAGAAACTGACTCCTTCTAGGGAAGATGTTGGAATTTGAGGGTTCCCTTATAAGGCTCGTTTTTAATAAAATAATGTACCTTGCAATGAGGATATGATGGCCAAAGTTACTGAGCAACTCCCTCTAGTGGGCTGCCTGCCCAGCCTCAGAGCCTGGCACCTGGCATACAGTGAGTGCTCAATAAGTGGCAGCCCACATCTGCCCTCCCCCACCTTCCCCAAAGATGCTTTTCTTCTGGACGTCAACAGGAATAGCCCTGTGTTAATAGCCGATTGTGGTGCTGGGTGTGGTATCTAAAATAAACATCTTTACAAGCCTCCAGTTAAGATCAACAATTTCTCCCCCTCGCTCACCGCATGCCTCACACTTTGCACAGGTACATTAGTCCATTTTCTGTTGCTTTAACAAAATTGCTGAGGCCAGGTGCTTTATAAAGAAAAGAGGTTTACTTAGCTCGCTGATCTGGCCGTTTGAGAGCTTGGTGCTGATATCTGCTCAGCTCTGGTGAGGGCTTTCTGGCTACATGACAATATGGTTACATGGCATCATGGTGGAAACACATGGGAGAGGGGAAGATTGCATGACAGGACAGGAAGCCAGAGAGATTCAGAGGCCAAGAGTGCCCCTTTTATTGCAATCACTCCCGTGGGAAATAACCAGAGTCCCACCAGAACTACATGAATCCCTTCCCAATGGCCCAATCACCTTCCCCCAGGCCTCACCCCTTAATAGTTCCACCACCTCCCAACACTGCCACACCAAGGCCCAAGACTCCTGCACATGCACCTTTGAGACCCACACGCAAGCCATATCCAGACCATAGCAAAGGGCTGGAGAAAAATGCATTTAGCTCACAAGCTTGCACAGCAACCAAGAGCCCCAGTGCACCCCTCTTATCTACGGTTGGCTCACCCTTGGTACTGGAGGTCCAAGAAGTTCCCAGAGAAGGGACCTCGGTTCAGGACCAGTGGGGTAAAAGAATTTCAGCACACAAGTCAGAGACAGAGGTTTATTTAGGGAAGCAGAGGCACATTCAAGGGAGAATGCAAGCCATCTCCACAGGGAGGGACAGCAACCCCCCGATGTGGGCTGTTATATATAGAGGGACGTTTGCTAGGGGCCAGATAGGGATAGAGCCACATAATTTTACTCCAGTTTTCCCTGCACTTATACATTGCACTCATGTCACACCAGCAGGGGTCAAGGACACAGGCCAGGTTGCCCAGGAGGTGCAATGGTTTGTGGGCACTTCTCTTTTGAGATCCAATCTATCTTTCCTTTTCTGTATCCCCAAATTACTCTTGCCCCCCTGAGGGTGCTGAGAGAGAGCAGAGTGGCCCGCTCCTCCCCATCCACTTATTTCTCATCCCCTATTTGGAAACCTGTGACAAGTTCCAATGATATCCAGATGCAACAAAGTAGAAACCCTAAGCTCCTGTATGTGTTCATATGCAGTGTGGACTTAATACGGTTCTTGCTCAACAGTGGATTAAAAGTGGGCTTTTAATTAATTATATATGCATATTTTCAGAACATTTCAAAAATATTACATCTGTTATTAAAAAAATAGGAAAAATATTTTTCATGACTGTGATGATTAACTAGCCTTGAGCTCCCCTTGTCCTCTCTGCCCTTGGTTTTGAGGCAGACGGGTGGAGTCACGGAGGACTGGGAGCATCAGGCTTCTTTTTTTCATGCTGGTCTCTGAATGCACAGAGCAAGATCCCCAGATGTCACTAATTTTGCATGGAGTTTCTTCTTAGCTTGGACTCCTTGGGCTTCTTAGTGAACCAAGTAAAGAGACACTGGGTATATCAGCACATGTTTCCCTGTGTGCTTTATGGTTAATGTAGTCCACCGTAGCATGTGACATTCCCTTTGAAAACACCTACAGAGAAAGAGAAGTTGTTCACTGACCACAGAATTGGGGAGTTCAGGACTGGTATGTTTCCATCTAATGAACCATGTGCATCCTTGCTTAGGCTGCCAGGAAGCAAAGAGCTATATTTGTCACTCAGTTATAGCACGGGCACAGGACTTTCTGATGTGAGCTTTGTAGACTAATCTGATGCCTGACAACTTTCCTTTTGCTCCTCCTATCCTTATTTCCCTTTTGCTTTGATTGCTCCTCCCTCCCTTTCTTCTTCTTTCCCACACACCTTCTTCTCAGTTGTGTCCCATATACGTGGTACCTGTTTTTAGTCTTTTTGTTGGTGTTGGGGATTGAACTCATGCTTAATCCCTGAGCCACATCCCCAGCCCTTTTTGAGATGGTCTCGGTAAGTTGTGAGGCTGGCCTCAAACTTGGAATCTTCCTGCCTCCGCGATTCCAGGTGTGTCCTGCTGTACCTGTTTTATAAAACCTCCCAGGACATTTATGATAAGAGGCAAAGTACCCATCAGTAGAGGATAAAGGCCACCTTGGCAGAACCCGCTCCTCATCAGGCAGTTTTGGAGAGCAGTGTTCCCAAAAGTCAGAACCAGGAATTTCTTTTAGTGTATCTTCATTAAGTTGACACTCTACCATGAAGCAGCTCAGCAGATTTAAGGCATTAGTATCATATAGGAGTTTGAAAAGCCAGAAGATATCCAGCTCCAAAAAGGATCCCTTGGGGGACTCCTGTCACTTTTCTGAGAGCGTGTTTGTCTCAAACATTTGTGTGCATCAGAACCTCCTGCAGGACAAACAATCCTGACTTCTTAAAAAAAAATCATAGGGAAATCTGTCACCAAGATTCCTGGGTCCCACCTCAAAGATTCAGTAGGTCAGGGCGGACTCACGACCTTGACTTTCTAACATGCTGTCAGGATGTGAATGAAGCCTTGGCCAATCCACAAACTATGCTTGGAAGAGCTGGGCTCAAAGTGCTGACAAGGGACTTCCTCTAGCCACTAGGTGGTGGTTGAATGTTTGAATGGCCTTTTGTGGAGCTTATCAAAAGCCTTTTCAATATCTTAATTAAATTAGGTCCTCTGGTCTCTAGGTCCTTTCTCTCTCTGTCTGCACAGAGAAGCTAGTGATGCAGACTAGTAACCTTTCCTGCCTTGATTCAGCATCCCCAGAGTCCACTGTTGGGAGTGACTGGCGCTGTTCCTCAGCCTCTAGGCTGCTGGCTGACTGCAGTCAGCTGAGGCCATTGGACCACAGAAGCCCTAGAGTGCCACTCCCCAGAATCCTGCAGCCAGGGGCCCGGCCCTGACATCTCCACTTGGTTTTGAGCTTCTCTACTTGTGCTCACAACCATGACTAGGGCTGAGGGAACATTTGAACCGTTAGCTCCATGTCTCCACATTTATGGTGGGAAAGAGGGTGATATGCTGTATGGGTCTTACCCCATGCAGAGATTCATTAGTATCCTAGGACTGTGAGGGAGGATAATAAGACAGACAGCTCAGTGGCCTAGATCAGCCAGTTCATTGGGTATAGGACCTACTAAGCATTACCTGGCTAGACCTCAGAGCCACCCATGAGGTAGGTGGCCCCCCATCTTTAGATGCAGAAGCCAGCTAGGAGAGGCTAAGCATGCCATTCCAGGGGGCAGAGGCACAATTAAACCCAGGCCCCTCTATTTCCAAAGTGCACGCTTAGCCACTACACTCTTGCCTTCCGTGTCAAGGATTCCGTCGTGTTTTCAGCCTGTGATTTTTTCCCCCCAGTGGAATTATAGGATTTTTAAAATGTGGTACTTCTAGAGGTAATTCATAAATAGAGGACAACGGGCGTTTAACATTTGGTTTGGGCCTTAAACCTCACAATGTGAAATATTCTGCCCTTTTGCACAGAGCAAGAATTCCAAAAGTCATGTTTTGGGCGGAATAAATAAGTAGGAAAGTCTCCCCAAATAGAATGGAAACCTACCTGCCAAGGTGAGGGAGCTGCCAGCAGTGCCACTTGGACAGAATGAGGCCAGTGATGGAGTAAAAAAATAAATAAACCAACCACAGCAAAGCCTCAGGTGCTGGTCATCAGCCTGTCCGTGTGATATGCCTGACAGGCGTCCTGACCTGGCTAGTCATATCCCTGCCTGAAAGGTGTGGTGCCCAGACTGTGGGGAAGACCTGATCCTGCCCCTTCCTGGCTTCCCAATGGGACTGGGCTGCTCTCATGTGAATTCCTTTGCTTTAGACACATAGCTTCCCCTCTCCTGGCCTCAGCACCAAGAAAAGCCCTGCTGCCAGCTTAGTGTATTCTTCCCAGACTCCTCTGGGTTTAAATTTCATTTGTGTTCTTCAGACCATACAGACCCTATTGGAAGCACACTAACTTCACTTACAATATATCATGAACATCTTTTTGCATCATTAACTATTCTGTCTCTAGCAGGCATAGGTTCCTTTGTGCCCTTCTGGTATTTTGCTTTGAAAAAAAATTTTTTATAAAAGCTATCATTTATTTACATATTGAGACCCTTTTTGAGAGGGTCTTGCCAAGTTGCTGAGGCTGGCCTCAAACTTGCATCGTTCCTGTCTCAGCCTCCCACGTTGTTAGGATTACAGACATGTATCACCACACCCAGTAGAAGCTAGATTTTCTTTAAAAATTGATCAGTCACATTATAAAAGTGAAATAAGTAGCTCTTGGGTTGAAACGATGGAATTGTTCTGATGTCTTTGAATCATACCAAATCTTTTGGAGAGATTGCTGAAAATCCAGAAGGCACCTAATGGAGGCACTGTGGTCCTGCACTAGGTACTAGTTATAGAGTGTGGGGGAAAAAAGTGAGTTTTGGAGGGGGTTCCCCAAGGCGGGGACAGGAAGTCCCAGCTATAAGGGTCTTTGCCTTCCTTGACTGGTGGGGTGCAAGCGCCATCTGTGCCCAGATCTGAGCCCAGTGTGTCTTCTCTCCCCAGCAGATCCGCCTGTGGCCGCAGCAGTGGTGTCACATTTTAATGAATGCCCAGATTCCCACACTCAGTTCTGCTTTCATGGAACCTGCAGGTTTTTGGTGCAGGAGGATAAGCCAGCATGTGTGTAAGTATCCCTAGCCCCCGGGGGTTGATCCTGCACTCGATTAAAAGAGCATTTGCCTCTGCAAGGCTTGCCAGAAACTCCTGAGAACCCTGAAGTTGGGCTCAGGTTCAGAGCCTCAGGCCACTTGCTTCAGAACCGGGTGGCCAAAAACCCAGGTTTCAGACCCCCTGAGGCAGAACCCCTGTGGAGGTTAGAGCCTGGGCTGCATTTTGAACAAACATCTCAAGTGACTTTTGGATTCATCAAAGTTGAGAAAATTCCTGAATTAATCAACTCTTCCTGGAGGGTGAGGCCCTGGGATGGGTACCTTTGAGTGGCCAGAGGTGTCGAGGACTCTGCACTCTATTTCATTAGCTGGACTGAAGAGAGGCTAAACTGGAAGTGCAGGCAAAGGATTAATGTACATAAAGATGCATCATGGCTTCCACACCTGGCCAACCTCCCCACAGTACTGCTGAGCCCCATCCTGACTTCCTGCATCAGAATCTCCAGGGGTGGAACCCAGGAATCACATTAGTAAAGAGCAACCTTTGATTTCTGTGGTCAGCCAGGTGGGGTAAGAAGGGGACTTGAGGAAAGCTTCCTTGGGCAAGTGGAGGCTGCTCCAGGCCTGGAGTGTCAAGGGGGTGGCACCTGCTGTTACAGGTCAGAAGCTACAACAGGATGAGATGGGAGGAGATGAGGTTGGAGGCCAGAGCCTTTTGGAAGTGAGCCTTTGGCCTCCAGGCAGTAGGAGCCATGTAAGTTTTAAAGAGAGACGTTTTAAGACTGTCTGTAGTTAATTACAATTAGGTGAACCTATACTTAACCTTGGCACTGTTGACATTCGGAGCCAGATAATTTGTTGTTTGGAGCTGAACTGTGCCTTGAAGGACATTTGCCAGCTTCTACCCACTAGCTGGCCAGAGCACTACCCACCTTCGTGTCGCTACAGACATTGCCAAATGTCCCTAGGGGGCTAATAAGCAGTTCGATGTGAAATTGACATATTCATTGGTCAAAAATGGCCCAGGGCCAGCAATTTCATACAGTCCAACCTAATAGTACAAAATAATGCAAAAATTTAATTAAAAACCAGCCAGGCACCATTTCAAGCACAATCCATTGTTATCTCATGAAGACTCCACAAGGTGGGTTCAGAGAGATTGTGCCCAGTCCCATAGCAGAGCTTAGATTCAATGGCTCTTAAAACCCAGTCCTTTGGCAGGGTACTTTAGGGCATTAGTTGCAACTAGCCTGGGAAGGACCTGGCCAGGATAGCCTGCTACAGGCTGATGTGGTGGGAGGGTTTTCAGTCCACAGTCCAGTCTGGGTTCAACCTTGTCCATGTTCAACATCTCTGAGCCTCACCTAGAGAGGACACACAAGCTGGCAACCTTTCTGCTAGGAATGTTTTTAGCTCTAAGAATCTGCCCCAGATGAGAGCCCTCCCCACCTAGTAAAGTGGAGCACAATGAGGTTGATAGTGGAGCACAATGAGGTTGATAGTGGAGCACAATGCGGTTGATAGTAGGCACTGTCATTACTCATGATTACCATTCTTATTAAAATGCACATTAGGGGTTTGTTTTTATTAGTAGTCAGGTCACTGGAAAAACACTGGCACTGAAGGGAGTTTGACCACAGCTCTGGAAGCCTGTCTGTAACAGCCAGAAGCCTCCCTTCCAGAGCCCAGAATGGGCCTCCGTGTGCCCTGGCCAAGTTGGGAGGATCCTCTTTGGAGACAAAAGACAAGTCTCTACCAAGCTCAGGTCTGCTTCCCCGGCACTAGATCAGAAGCTAGTGCAGACTTCCGGTGGCCACCAAGCAAGCCAATCAGTAACTATCTGTGGCTGAAGTTTTTTTTGTTTTTTGTTTTGAGGGGGGAGGTGTGCTGCTCTCCCTTGTCTGGATCCCAAGTCCAGCTTTTGGCTCAATAAAGGTGACTGTCCATCCCATTCTGATAAGTATGTCTACTAAGAATAAACTCTCAGTAAAAGCTGTAGCTTAGGTCAGGGATGGTACCTAGCACTCCACATTGAGCCTCTCATAGATTCTCACCATGTCCTTCTCCACTAAAAATTATTGTAGACGTGGGGAAACTGAAGCTCAGAAAAGGTAAGAAACTTGCCCAGAGTTGGTAGAGGTGGGATTCACCCTAATTATTCCAGCTCCTGCCCACAGGGCACTCTGCCTCAGCTCGAAAAATCCACATCAAATCACTAAGCATTTTTGTTTCCAAGGAACGTGTTGACTTCTCCCCTTGTAGATAAAGCTGCTTCCAGAGAAGGTCAGGTTCATTCCCAAGCTCTTCTGACCAGACTTTTAACAAGTCCTTCCTAAGAACATGAGACAGCCAAGGCACCTGGCAATTGGGCAGAGCTGGCCCTCTGGGGAGGCATGGCTACACCAACCCTTCCCACCTCTTGACCTCAGTTTCCGCTCTGGACTTTGGCATCCTGGGGGCAGTATTCAGTCCACAAGGACTATGTGGCAGTAGAAGATGCTCCACTTCCTTTTTTGCTGGCTTTATTGGATTGGCAGTGTTTTAGAAGTTAGGTTCTGCAGATACCCAATTTCTCTTGAAGAAAGGCAGCCCTGGGCTGGGACTCAGACATACCCCCACCTCTCTGAGGGATACTCCAACACCAAAGCACAGTGTCGGTCTCCATCTTCTGCTTCCCCTAGCCCACTGCACTCCCCTCAGTCACCCACTTGAGCCCAGGGCTGGGAGTGTTCAGCCCTTAGACAGGATCTGAAATCAGGCCCTTCTGGCTCTGACCTAGCAGGGTGGTGGCAGGAGCAGGGGGATGTATGGTCCCACCTGCACAGCATGCTCAGGGTGCCCAGCCACACCCTTAGCAGGAGGCAAAGGGAGCCCCGTGCCAGAGCTGTCTCGTAAGCTCTGGAGGACAGGACCACACCTTATACCTTTTTATATTTACAGTCCTCAGAAGAATGTTCTAACTACTTAATTCCCACTAGACCAGAAACTGTGTCCGTGCAGAGAAAGCCAGAACATTCTGTCTCTGCTTCTAAGAACCGCCCCAGCTTTCGGGAGCTGACACACACAACATTCTGGTCAATAAAACTGACATACCTTGAGGTATGGCCCCATCTGTCACAGCATTATAAAGAACCCACAGTGAGCCAAGAAGATGGTTTCAAAATATACATTTTTAGACTTCGTCTTCTAATAAGAAGTCCTTAAGTTTCCAGAAAAACTTAAAAATAACATCTTGTACTGTAAGATGAGAGAATGAAAAAAAAAATAGTCAAAAGTGGCCAAAGGTAGTGAAAAATCATCCTCAAACATTTATGCTTCACCTGAGCCCCGGGCTGTTCGTCTGCACATTTATGGCTCCCTTTGCCCATCTGCTTGCTGAAGTTCTTCTGTCCTAGTAGAGATTTAGCAGAAAATGTGCAGAGACAGTGAAGCTACAGACATGGGTGGTTAGGCACCACTTTTCCCTGAGGCGGATTCCTCAAACTGTTGGGCTGCTGCCTGTGAAAGCCTTCAAATAAAAGAAAACAGTCAGCGGAAGCCATCTCAGTGACAAGTTTTAAGGGTTCTAGTGTTGGCAACCAGAGGCAGCTAGCTCAGAGTTTCTCACCTGTACCAAATGCTCCAGCCCCCAGACTCCCTGACAACTTTCCCACAGCGAGTGGGAAAACAAACTACTGCTAGCCAAGGAAAACATTCCACAGCACATTCCAGTGCAATCGGAATAGTCGAACTTCCAGAGATATTGGTGGCCATTGATGCACCAGCATGCTGCCCATGACTAATGGCCCACCTCCTCGGAGATAGTGACCATGTGCCTACTGGTACATGAGCTGCTTGATGTAGGTCTATTATCTTCTCACCTAGCCAAGGGGCAGGGGTTAAGCAGTAGGGTGTCCCTCTCATACACAGATCTGGAGAAATTGCTTATCCCCATTCTCTCCCCATCTCCACCTGTACCAGGTAGGGTCACACTAGGCACCCTAATGAAGTCAAAGGAATGGATTTGGAGGTCAGACACTCCCAAGTTAAAATCCAGCTGAGTTCTCAGACAAGGGACTTAGCCCTATTAAGCCTGAATTTGTTTATTTATAAAATGGGGTTGCTAATACTTCATGGGTTCATAATGAGGACTCAGTGACAGTAATTATCAAAAGTAAATGCTGTCCAAGACAAGAGCCACTAGACATGTGGGGCTATTTAAATTAATTGACTTAATTAGAATTTAGTTTCTCTGTCACACTAGCCAGTGGCTACTGCATTAGACTCACTGGATAAAGACAATTCTGTCATCATTATAAAAGCTCTAGAGGACAGCATAAGGGACCAAGCAAGCCTGCTTCCTAGCAAACAGTTGAACTCTTATGCTGTGCTATCAGCCGCCCTAGGCACTATCACCACATCTCAGGGATATTGTAAGTTCCTGCTCAAAGGAGTAGAAAACATGTAGGCATCCCACACGACCCTTGGATCAGAGCTGCAAACGCAGATCCAGCATCCTCCCAGCCCTGGAATGGAGAGAGGGTAGGACTGGGCAAATCCTAATACACATGCCACTGGACCCAGTATACCCACTCCTCCCCCTGCCCTGTGGGATTTCTCCATGTTAAAGGCAAATTAATGTAAAACATATTTCTAAACCATTTCAACTTGGTCCTGGACTGTCACATCCAAGACTTTAGCTTGAGACCTATACCAAAAGAGTTGGCTAGTAAGCAGTGTACTAGCCTCTCACCAGAGGCTACATCACTGCTTATGAAGATAATATATCTCAAGAGCCCTAAAAATGTTCCCATTCTTTTATTGAGGTCTTTTTAGCACTTGTAAAGTGCAATAAACAGTGCCTAATTCATTTAACTTTCATAACTCTTTGAGATTGTATCTTTAAAATGCAAAAGTAATAAGACCTATCAATCTGTGAACCAGGGAAATTAACTAACTCCTTCAAGGTCACACAGGCAATAAGTAGGGAAAGGGCTCGGACCCCATGACAATTTGGCTGCAGAGTCTGTGCCATGTTGTACCTACCTTTGGGATCCTGTCCTGAGGACATTATCTTTGTGCACACATCTTTGTTTGCATTTGAGATTATCACCTGGCATTAGTTGTAGTATCATAGTTGGATGGAGTCTGAGTGATTAGAGTTTGGAGAGGCAAACTACACATATAAAGTATTAAGTTGGCATTTTAAATGACCTTTGCACTGTTTGGTAATGATGGTAAAATGGTGCAGGGATGTTAAATGAGAAATTTATGCTTAAAATGACATAGAAATAGCATAAAAGGAAACGTGGCTTGGGCTGTCATGAGTGGGGTTAGGGCTGCATTTCTTTGCTCTGTTATAGTTATGTGCTTTCCGATTTGCTTGGAAATGTTCCTTTTCTGGTTGAGGAAAATTTTTCTTCAAGAACACAGTACTACATGTATTTGCAAATCTCTCAACATTTTAAAAGCGTACCGTGAACCAGGTAGAAAGGGAAGACCCAAAATGTCATAGCAGAGGAAAAAGAAAGGTATTTCTTCGCCTACAGCCACAATGTTTGCTCCTACAAAAAGCACCAAAACAACCTTCAGACTTCATCAGCAACAGAAACAAAAAGCCCCAGGAATCCACCTGTCTGGATCCTCTTGCTGCTCTGATGTGCTCCTGGCCCCTCCTCAACTGTGCCCTTTCCTTTTTCTCTTGCACTTGACTTTATTTTTGCTCTTATTATGGGAACATAGCTTCAATATGATTCCGGTGCCTCATTTTCAGAATTATGAAAACAAACCAGCTTTCTAGAATCTTGTGTTTGACCAACGACCAAGACAGGAGAGAGAATGGTCAAGTGGCATAAGATGTTCGGTTACACATCTCCCATTTACCTCTGTCAGATAACTCCTCAGATTATTTTCTTAAATGGGGGTGCAACTGCTCCTATTTCCCCAGCATCTGCTATGAGGGAGCCCATTGTACAGCTGCCACCCTAGGAAAATGCTCAGAGAGCAAGGGAGAAAGGGAAACGGGCAGATGAACTTGGTTCTCAATTCCGTGCACTTAAATGGTAGTTTTACCTCAGTGGGTCTCAGGCCTTGGTGCCCAGACCAATTGAATGAGCGTCTCCAGGGGTGTGGCCTTGGCCCTGGTTTTCCTGAGCTTCCCAGGTGATTCTCATGTGCAGCCAGATGGGAACCAGTACATGCCTGGGGTAAAGGAGAGGACAGCAGCTGAGTCAAGGATGAGTCATTTACAGCCCAGTGAAGTGACTCTCCCTCCTAGTGTGACTTATGCCTAAAATCATCAGCATAAATTTAAGTTTAATATTAAAAATAAGTTTTCCAAACTGTTTCTTTAAAAAAAAAGTGGTGGTGGGGGGTGTTACTAAACCTTTTTTCTTATCCTCTTCACAAAGAGGATCTGAGAAGCAGGGCACTTTGTAGTACCAGGCCCTGCCCCACAGGAGCAAGGAGGTTGGGAAGAGCCACTAAAGGAGGGGTAGGAAAATGGACAGATGAGGGACTGGGCCAATGAATGTGTCTAAATTATATGTTTTTGGAGAATGTGGTCTTTGAGTTAGAATCTGAGGAAGAGAGCAAAGAAGAATATTCCAGGCCAGGAGGAGTTAGCAATGACAAATAGAGGGCAGCCCTTCATTCATTCTGCAGCTGCATCCCAAGTGCCCAGGTGCCAATCACTTTGCTGGGTGCAGTGCATATATTTAAAAGTGGGCCCGTGGGGTAGATTAGGACCCTGGCATGGTTGGGGCACCAAACATCAAATAGAATAAGCCCACAATGCAGATGGCCTCTCTGGAAGGTAGGGAGCCACAGGATATAAACTTGATTACAGGACAGAGGAGGAACTTTTGCCCAGTTTTCTTTAGACACTGACAGCTCAGATGTCAGCTCTGCCTGAGCCAGTCACCTCTCAGCCTTGAGTCCCCTGTCACTTTTGTCTTTGCATTGTTTTGTTAAAAATCAAACAAAATCCACCTCTGTCCCACTACTCCAAACCCTGAGTATTCTTAACAAGATTTCAGTGATCCCGACCCTTTTCCAAGAGAAGTCATTAGAGATCCCTCCACCATCCAAGGTCTGCACTCCCCTCCCTGGTCTGTAGAGAGCCCTACAGGACATTTCCCATCCTAGGGGCTCTCCCTCAGCCTCCTCCTTTACCAAACATTGCAGACCCTTTGCACCTTGCTAAATTAGAACTCTAAAATGCTGCCTTCTATTTGTCAGTGCTAATTCCTCCTGTCCTCCTGGTCATTCTTTTTTTTTTTTTTTTAACCTTTTCAAGATTATAAGGCTAAGCCAAAAGCCAGAACAGTGATAACTCTGACATTCTCACCCCAGGCTCTTATAGGCAAAGCTGCATGGTACATGAGAGCACCCAAACTCAGGTCAACAGACCTGGGTACAAACTCCTCTGATATCCCTAGAAGGGAAGGTGCAAGAAAGGCAAATACAGAATTAAATATGCAAACAAAACAAAAGCACAAATGCTTAAATTTAAACCAATGACTACCTTTAAATAGGTTACAGAAAACTTCATGCCCTGGCATCCCAAGCTAAAGCCTTCAGTAGCAACTTTTTCAACATCTTTTGTTTTCCATAAATCTTAAGCTGGTATAATACCTATTCTTTCAACATTAAAATGCTTCAACTTTTGTTAACATTGGGCAAAAATCTGTGCTCCAGGGAAACATACCATGTTTATCCTGTGACTCCAAGTACCTTTCTGGTCTGGCTGCCCAGGAGCGCTGAAGTAATAAGGGAATCAAAAGTGTAATGGCCCTGGGACCAGCCTAGCACCATGGCAGGTGCCCTGAGACTGTTAATCCCCTTTCAGTTTTCCTTGTTCTTCAAAGGAACAAGGAAAGGTTACAGGCTAATCAAAAAGCAGACTTTAAAAAAAGATTCAGCTATTATTGTCATATCTGGGTGGAGAGCAAAACTGAAACTTTATATCCAGCATGTGATACGGGGCTACCCCTCAAAAAAGTCCCCTATGGGAAGAAAGCTCCCCCACTCCAATCAAGATGGTGGTTCAGATATTTTCACTGACAATAAAAAAGGTACCAGTGTGTGAGCCAAGTCCTCTATTGAGAGGAATGATGCTTGGGGAAGGGGAGAATACCTGTAAAAGAAGATGACCAAGATTTCCTTGTGGCTAGAGCACATCCTGGAGAACCAGGGGTGAGATGAGATCCACTTGTGCAAGGCAGGAGGTTGTTATTGTCATGATCAAAGACAGAGAAACTCAGAAGAGTATCAATAGCAGGAACGCACCACTATGAGTGCGCACGTTCATGAGGGCACCAGTACGTTCACACACGTGACCTCCTGGCACCCTGATCCTATAGTGGATGTAGGCCAGGTATTGTTGGTCATGAGGACACCAGGGTTCACCACAAGGCTGGCAACTTCAGTCAGTCCTACAGTGACCAGGTAGTGGTGCTAGGTTCCCCCTGTACACGGGGCCACCCAGCAAGTAAGTACTTGTAGGACTAAATCAACTTAAAAAGGCTAAGCACAGCCTATGTCTCCAACTACTTTAATGTATTTTCTTGCTCTCATCTGAAATTCTGAATAAACATTTGGTTTAAAAATAACCTGGATTTTTATGAACTGCTAAAATGAAGTTCTTGTCATAAACACATTTGCTGCCTTTATTCCAAGATTTAGCACAGTAACAATTATGAAGTGCTTTAGCAGCACCTCTCCTGCTCAGGAATAGGAATCAGTCCCCCCACTCCTAGAACGCAGTGCCTGTGGCAGGGACACCATTGTCCCGTAGCAAAGGCTAGAAGGCCCCTTTGTGCTTTTCCTATGGGTTCTAGGTCGCTTCAGCCCGGTCCTCCCTGAACACTGGGGAACAAGACCTTCTATCAGGAGCGTGCTGATGTTCCTTTCTTCCACAGCTGCCATTCTGGGTACGTGGGTGCACGCTGTGAGCACGCAGACCTCCTGGCCGTGGTGGCTGCCAGCCAGAAGAAGCAAGCTATCACTGCGTTGGTGGTGGTCTCCATTGTGGCCCTGGCTGTCCTCATCATTGCATGTGTGCTGATACAGTGAGTAGTTGCTGCTCCCAAGTCAGGTCCCCTGCCCTACCAGGGACCTCTGCTCCCTGGCCACTTAACAGGGCTACCTCAGCACAGCTGGTTGCTATGAACCATGAGTAACATCAGCAAAGCTTAGAGGAACTATGATGACTTTTGGCACAGCATGGCAGCCAAGCTGTGTAAGGGCCTGGCGCATCCTGGGAGGGGCCCCTGTGGTGGGTCTGTATGTTGCTCAAAGCCAATGTCAAACCATAGGCACACTCCCTCTCCACTGTTGGGGTACAGCCTTGAGGATAGTGATGAGATGGACAAGTGCCCCCAGAGAGAACTGGAAACAGCTCCCCGACTTCTCTGGGCAGTAGAAGAAGCACTTTCTCTCTGCAGAAGGCACTTTGCCAATTCCAAAGTCCCATCAAAGGCCATTGTCACCATTTTTACATGCTGATGACCTGCACAGCCTCCCCTTTTCCCCACCACTCTGCCTTCTTCATCCTCCAAAGTCCAGTTTCTGGGTTAGAGTTCTATCCTCCAGCTATTCTGAGCCCTAGACTCAGGGAAACCCTTTTCACAAGCATCTTGGCCTCATTTGCTTGCTCTACCCAAGGAACTGCTCTCCAGAATCAGAGACCCTGGGAATACCCTCTGCTGTATTCCCAGCACTAGGCTGGATTTCCTACCTGGAAATATCTGAAGTCTGAGTCAGAGAGCAAGAACTCTGAGGAGTTCTCAGGAGGAATTCTCAGGTCAGCACAGTGCTGGTTGAGTCATGGTGGAGACAGACACAGCTACATGTTAATGCAGGAAGCCGCACTTCCCCCTCTAGAGGCGCCTAGGTTTCACTCAAAAACAGGCTCTGTCCTGTTGGTTTGTTAGTCCAGTACTATCCCATCAGCTGAAGCTCATGCCTCTGGTTCCTGACAACAAATGAGGAGCCTCTTAGAGCCCCAGCTTTTGGCAGTAGCCACGGCCTGCTCACACCTTTCCCCCGGGCCAAGTCAGCACTAAGTGAGGGAGGATAGAGTCGCACTGAGGTGGCCTTTCCTTCCTCCCTAGGCAGAATCCATTCCCCTTGCAGGCATCCTGGGAAAGCACAGTTGTGGGGAATAGACAAGAAGCTTTGGTTTGGGTGGGGCACATCCCAGACTGTCAACTCAGAGACCCTTCCAGGGGAGCAGGAGTCACCTAGTGTACTGCTGCCCTCACTTCCCATGGCCAGCTAGCTGTTTCCGTAGCCAAGAGGGTTCTTATCCTTATGAACCCCTGTGGGTCTTTCAAGAGAGACTTAAAAACTAACTTTTTCAGATTCTGTGGGGACAAGAAAAATCTAGATGCCTGGATACCAACTTTTATTCCCATAGAAGTGGCCAGTCCCACCTCTTTGCTGTCCCTGTCCCTACTAGAAACTAAGCTTCTGGTTGCCTGGACAGAGGGTATTACTGAGTCACACAGTCCAGGCTGAGACCAGCTCTCCCATGCTAGAGGGCTCTAGATGCCTTGATTCCATTGCCCTGGGACACCTTAGCTGGGAAATGACCAGGGCAAGTCTGCCTGGCTTAGACCTAGAATCAAGGCCTTAAACTCTTTCCAACATGGAATGAGCTGGTTACAGCCCAGACTCTGTAGCTCAGGAGGGCCTCCGGCCCCACACGACACTGACCTCTCATTTTCCATCTGTGACAGAAGTAGCTTAGGCAGAAAGGCCTCAGGGGCCCTTCTCAGCACTGCTGCCCAAAGTTTCACAGGCTTAGTAATTTTCCTAGCTTCATATTCCAGGGCAGGGCAGAGAGGGGCTGGAGTGGGGTTCTGAAAATACCACCTGGCAGCAAGAGACACAGCCACTGGCTTGTTTCAGCATCTGCTTTTGGGCTCACATCAGTTTGGACACTTCCCCCAGCCCATGTACATTAATTATATATACATTAAGATTATAATGAATGGGAATGGAGCCCTTACTGGTAGCCCAAGGAAAACAGCTGACAATGTCTCTAGGTAATTTTGTTTTTCCCCGGTGGCACTGGGGATGGAACCCAGGGCTAGGAGGTGGTAATGAATGTCCAGGTGCTTTCCTCCCTGCTCCTGTTCCAGGCTCCTCAGTTCTTTGGGCTTGCTAACTCTGGAAACTGCTCATTCCTGCCCACAGAGGGAGAGAAGAGCCTTCTTAACCCTTATGCTTCCAGACTCCGGGTAACACAGGTTTACAGAGAAGTTGGATTTTCCATTACGAGAGAATTTTGGTCCTCAGAGGAGGATTCAAAGCCATTGAGATCCATGACTCATTCTTTCTTTCCATGGGCCAACTCTGCCCATCCAAGTTTCCTGCTTCACTCCTGGCAATGCCTGGTGCATGACCACCCCCCCCCCCCCCCGAATCCTTGCAGTCCTGCCAGCCTGAGGGTGGTGACTGAGCACAAGCCTAATGGTCATTCCACTACATTCATGGAGTTTCTCAACTGGTTCTTTATGGAGAAAGCTGCTGGGTGGCTGGTCAGCCCCCTCTGACAACCATGTAGCCCGGCGAGTCCAGAGCTTCAGAAATGGTGCTGGTCTTTTGTTGTGGGCCAGCATCAGGTCCAAAGGCCACCAGTCTTCAAGGGCTCCTAGCTCCCTCTGGTGCCTGAACTTCTAGAGGACCCTCGGGAAGGCTAGTTGAGTCTTAGAGCTGCCTGGCCAGGCCTCCCGCTGAGCTCCAGTTCACACCATCTTCTCTCCTCCTTTGTAGCTGTTGCCAGGTCCGAAAACACTGTGAGTGGTGCCGCACCCTCATCTGCCGGCACGAGAAGCCCAGCGCCCTCCTGAAGGGAAGGACTGCTTGCTGCCACTCAGAAACAGGTAGAGGGCTGCATGGGGGATTTAGGAGGCACTCCTGGGTGGGAAGAAATGACCACTTTCTCCAGGTTGGTGCAGAAGTCTGAGGAGGAAGAAGCAGGAAGGGGGGAGGCTATTTTATTCTATTAAGTCAGTCTGGGTTCATTCCAAGGTGTGTCTGACTTAGAAAGGAGTTCTTTCATCCTTACTGGTGACTGTGTAACCTGCGACAAGTCAATATTAGAGAGCCTGTGTCTTAAGAAGATGCTGTATAAGTCAGATGAGTACTGACACAAAGCACATAATTAGCATATACCAAATTATAGATAGTCCAATGTTTGTTCTCTTCCCCTTTTCCACTGGCCAGTGAAAGTTCTCTAAGGACCTTCACACTCTTAGACCTAGTGTTCCCCATTAAGTTTAACATTGTTTTAGGGTTTTCATCAACATCCATGAAGATTGGATCTCTGGATATGAGGCCAATAGGCTGCTCAGGACCCCTGTTCTGAGCATTATTGGCTCTGGTCTCCAGGAGTCAAAACTTTATCCAGACCCTATGGAAATTCTCACCCACATCAACAGCCTTTCCAGAGATGCTATGTCATCCAAGTCCCTCATAACAAAATTCCTTTTGAAGAAGTAATGGGGTCAGGAGACAATCGCTGAAGTCCAATCCACCAGGAATGTGTAGGAAACAGTTGGCATTTCAGATGCTCCGGTTGCAGAGAGAGGGCAGGGAGAAAAAGGCAGATACTCATGTGTTCATTAAACCTCATGGCAATCTGTTGTGGAGGGAGTTGGAGGACCAGTAGCCTTGTTTCCCTGGTTTTTATTTCAGTAACCTTAGTAATTGTGGAAGAGAAGTACTTAAGAGCTGTAGACTTCCTAAATCTTCAGAACATTCTAAGGATTAATGGATGTATATCCTCAAGAGGATAATGTAATGCAGTGGCTAAACTGGGTCCACTGAGGGCCTTTTGGGTCCCATAATGAGTCAGTAAAAAATTGAGGACCAGGGATTTTGAAGTCCCTCTTCTTCCACTACCTTGAGGGACCATCCATGGAGCTAATGAAGGTGGATATTCTTTTCTTGTAACAACAATATAAAAATGTTTAAACATTTTAAGAAAACATGATTTTATAGCATTTGTCTGACTCTCAGAAGTCATATGGGGTAGAGTAAGTTTCTTCTTAATGCCACTTTTCTCCCCACCTTTGAAAGTAAGCTCTGAGCCAGGAATGGATCTGGCTTTTCAGAGATGGCCACTGAAGGTGAAACCCCTCTCCCCGAGATGACGCATGCCACCAGGCCAGCTGGGCCTAAAGGATGGATGAATTGGGGGGGGGGTACTACACACAAACCCTGTTGAAGATGTGATTCACCCTGAACCAGGGCAGTCCCCTCCACATATCCAGAGGAACCACCAGACAAACCAGGGCAGGTAGCTAACCAGGCTGAGCTGGATTCAGGAGCTGAGGACTATATCAACCCCAGAAGAAACCCTTAGGGAGCATCTACTAAAAAATAATGGGTCCTTTTTTTTTTTTTTTTTTTGGTGGGGGTACTGGGGATTGAACATCCCCAGCCCTATTTTGTATTTTATTTAGAGACAGGGCCTCACTGTTGCTGAGACTGGCTTTGAACTCATGATCCTCCCACCTCAGCCTCCTGAGCCACTGGGATTACATGCATGCGCCACTGCACCCGGCAATGGGTCCATTTTTGTATGGTCTTAGGGGGAAGGCATTTTACACTAAGCTCTATGGGCTGCCCACCAAGCCACCACTCAGAGGAACAAGCTAGGTTGAATTGAGTCACTAATGAGAGGGTCCATTCACCTTCCCATCTCCCTTCTCTTCTGCTACAACTCATTTCACTTTGTCACCCTTGCTGACTTCCTTTGGCATTGAAAGCACAATTTCAGAAGTGCTCCCCTGAGGCTGAGACAGCAGGATTGAGACTCTGCCTAACTGCTCAAGAGAACCTGGTGGCATTAGCTAATGCCGTCTCCAAGTCTCCTTCCCAGCTTGGCTTAGGTCTGGCCCACAACATATTAACCTGTTTTTCCTTCCTGCCAGTGGTCTGAGGAGCCCCAAGGAGGAGTTTGGCCAGGTGGACTGTGGCAGCCTGATGGAGAGAAGCCTCCTATAGGTCAGCAGCACCAGGGATGCCTGGGATTTGCCAGAAGACCTTTCCTACTTTGCCTGTGATCACCTGTGCAGCCTTTCATCTTCTGTGGGCCTTCAAAACTCTATCGAGAACTCTGTCTGCTTGGATTTGGTATGCTCTGGAAAAGAAGTCAGTGGATCACAATTTAAAGACTGGTTAAGTGATAACGGCAAAGGAGTGGCCTTCCTGTTTACCTACATCGGGTGTGTGCAACGGTCTCCCACCAGTCATGGATTCCAGGCTGTATTTCTTCTTAATGGGCTACCTCCCCTCAACAGAATCCTGCCCAATACTGGAGATTCTATTGTTGTTACTTTTTCTCACATGGCATAGAAAGTGGTGAAGAGGAAATGGCTTATTGTTACATGAAGACAAGTTTAAGAAAATGCATGTCCTCTGCCCACAAGGCCCTCAACCAGCCTGACACCTGCCATGCACACGTGATGTTGAAGACCTTCCCATACTGTTGCCACCCTTGGAGATAATTTCATATTTATTAGATGGATAGTGATTTTTAATTTCTTAAGTCAATGTAAAAGAGCATAAACCCCTCCAGAGGAATTAATGATGTATGTATTGCTGACTGATAAGTTAGACTTACTAGAAATGTCTGGCCTCTTTGAGACAGCTAAGTCTCGGGGAAAGCCTCCCAAGGGCTGTGGGGATGGAACCAGAGGACAGGGTTCCGACAGAAGCAAAAAATTGGGGCTCAGAGTTCATGATATCTAAAGACACAAAATGGGTAAATGCCCCAGGGTACATTCTGGTAGAAAAGTTAGCAACTCTAGCAGCAAGGACCTGTCCCCTCTGTTGTGGGGAGAGGACAGGAGGGCCTGTGTGTGTACACAGAGTAAATACAACCTCTACTGTCTGGTAAAGCATCAGCTTCCTCATGAGCCCAGCTTGGGCATTAGCAAGCCATGGGCATTTCAGGCTGAATCCATGAAAGGGGACCAGTCCTTTATTTTCCATGTTGTGCTTGGTTGGTTTGTTGCTTTATGTTTAAGAGAAGAAGTTTAACTTTCCTATTTATTTTTAAGCATTAGGAGAAACATGCTATTGGTTTTTCCTTTCCCTTCCATTCAGAATGCCAGTTTTATTAACTAAAATACTAAGAAGTCTCTCACTTTCTGCTCAAGAGGAGGCAAAATTGTCCTCCCGAGACTTGATGACATTATGACCCACCGGTCCAGTGTGAGTCCCTTCAAACTGACAAAATTGGAAACAGAATAGCAATGAAATAATATATGAACTCCTATGCAAGGAAACTCCTACAATGAAAAGGGAAAGACTCCCACCTATTAGCCCTTCAGTGCACCTATCTTGTCACATCATGAAAGGGACTTTTAACATGTCAAGTTGGTTTGAAATTTCTATCAGAAAACTACTTCCTTAGTCTATTATTTCTATGATTTTTTTTTTTGCAAGACAATGATCCCACCTGTCTTAACTTTGGTTATTTAATGATGTCGCACATGAGCATTAAGTGCTGAAATTGGGTCTGTTCAGAGCTTGCCCCGAACAGCTCCAGGTGTTTTAAGTGTTAAAGATAATAGGTTCAAATTGTGTTCACTGGGTCAGCCCTACAGCAGCAGATGAGTGGGCCAAGACCTGACTGTAGCCTCCTGCTCAGAGACCAATCAACTGACACTGGTTTCTTACTCAGCTTTCTCAACAGACCCTCCTAAAATTCCGAGATCCTGAATTAGACTAAGTAAAGAATGTCACTTTGATGTTAAGACAATCTTTCGTGGCCTATTGGAGACTCTGGGAGGTCTGGCTGCTTTTAAAGAGTATGAACTCATGTGGAAATATTTCTTGGGGCTTTTTAAAATTTTTTTTTGCCTAATGGATGGAAGCACCAATATCCAGCCTAAAGACGCTATCAGTAATTGGCATCCAAGAGACTTGGCAGAGGTGCGAGGATGGACAGCTGGTGGAAGCAGAGGTTCCCCACAAAGACCTCGGATTTAGCCTCTGTGAATGTTCCAGTTCTCAGGTTCCAGCCATCATAGCTGCCAGTGCTTGTTCCTGTGCCTGTCCCCTCATATAGTGATGGGGTTCAAATGCACATACCCCTCAGAAGTGCCTTCTGAGTCAGTCCTTTGTAAACCAGCAGGTCTGAAGAGGGTCAGAAGCTGAAGTCAGGTTGAGGCAGGCCTGATTGGACCATTGTCCACACCCTGGATTCTTTGCCAATTTCTCTTTTAGAGGTCAAATGATGACAAATTGTACCATTTCCGGGCAATAGTAGTCCCTTGATTAGCTATAAAAATATTCTCTTCTTAGCATAAAAAATGTGTTTAACTTGCCATCCCTGCAGAATTCCTGTTTCCTTGTCCTCCAGAAGGCCAAGTGTTCAAAAAGGTAACCATCCCAGAGGCCTGACCTGGTAAGCAGTCACACATCTAGCAGCGAAGAACATAGCTATTTCCAGTGAGTCAGGAGACCATGAAAAGCTCCCCATTAAAAAAAAAAAAATTTTAAAGGCCTGTAAACCTTTACAAAACCTAGATGTACTCTCTGCTCTATAGACTGTAACATTAAATATACTGACAGGAAACAGTTTCTACTTGGAAAGATACTCAGCAGTCAGTTCCTATCTGGAAGACAGGGCTCCAGCTAGACACAGGTGGAACTAAGCAAGGGATGGGGTGGCCATTGTCCCAGAAGAAGAGGTGGGCACAATGACTCTAGGGTGCTTTTTTTTCTGAGCGAGGAAAAAGAGGAGGGATTGACATTCATCCACCCACATTGGTGAGGGAGGAGGATTTATAGTACTGAAACTTCTTGGGAGGGCAGGATGTGCTTAGCAAATGTAGAAAACAGTCTGATGTCTCCCAGCCAGGTTTTCTAGGACTTGTGAGCCACTGGTTGCTTTTTCCAGGTAATTTGCCAGGGATGGACCAATGATCCCTTAACATTGCTCATGAGGCCCAACCCCTTAGTAGGTTCTGGGATTTCTCTCTCTTACTATATGTCCAGCCAAGGAGGGAGAATGATCAACCAGCCCAGAACCAAGAGGCACATCAGAGAAACAAGCAAACATGTTCGTTTTTAACGTTCTAACATAAGACCTGTTCTCTCTAGCCACTGATCTTACTTTAGGCTTTCTGAAAAGACCTAGTATTGTGTGTACACACACACACACACACACACACACACACACACACACACGAGTACTGAAAAGAAGCCCCTCTTCCTAGTGTAATAATTTACTGAAATGTTCAACTTTTCATTACAACAAACCTGGTGTTGTTTTTTTTTTAAGAACTTATTACTCTGACTTCTGTATATGTTGCACTGAAAAGGTTAATATTTAATGTTTTAATTTATTTTGTGTGGTAATTTTGATTCCTGTAATGTGTTAATGTGATTAGCAGCTCTTTTCCTTAATATCTGAATTATACTTAAAGAGTAGGGAACAATATAAGATACGGTTGTGTTTTTTCAGGAATATGCATTGTTGTTCAGTTGTACTGTACCTTGTTTGGAAGGATGAAGGAATGAACACTTTTTTCCTAAATCAAGACTGGAGTTTTTCTTTAACATGATTAGGACATTGATAAGAAAAAAAAAAAGTAAATGATGTTTGTAAAACGCAGGAATCCTGTCATTCACCATAGCTGACCCCTCTCTGCTTGAAGAAATCAAGTTTTCTGAAGTTCTTCCTAATATATAAGTAATTTAATCTATAGGGTGTCCAACAGTGCTCATTGATGTGCAGGAAAATAGATAACATACAATCCATGTCACAAAGGAATTGAGTTCTGAGTGGGAAGACTGACTAACATGAAGAAAATAATTCTAGTATATTTGACAGAATTCAAATAAATCATTTCAAGGCAGAGTGTGTGTATTAGTACCTATGATTCTCAAAGCATGATCCCAGATCAGCAGGATTACCCAGGACTTGTTAGGAAAGCAAATCTTCAGGTAGTAGACCAGACCTACTCAACTCCAAGGGTATCTCCCTTCCCTCCAGGTGATTCTGGTACATGCTCAAATTTGAGACCCTCTGTGCTGGAGGACTCAGTGAGAGAACAAATTTTAGTGTAGGCCTATGTTTTTAGGAAAAACTTTGCAGAGAAAGTGAAACTTAATTTATCTCTCATGGTTCAAATATAATAACCATTAGAAAGTGACAACTGAATTTATCAGGATTTCTCTGCTCTACCTAGGAGAAGGGACAGACAGGCCTATCTCCCATCATATTCCCCACTCACTCTGCTCCCCAGTATCTGACTGTAAGGAATTATTCTAAAGCTGTCAGCCCTGGTCCTGAAACCCCACGGTAGATCTCTGCACTTCTCATGTGTGCATGGGCCTCACATGTCCAACAGATGAGCTGCTCATGAAGAAGCAAGGGTGAAATAGATGCTGAATAGCATGAAATCTTGGTCCAAAAAAAGTTTCAAGCTCTTTGTAGTGAGGACCAAGGATCCTACTCTAAAATTGTTTAACACTTCAATCCAAGTTCCTTGGTCTGTCTTTGTCCCTCAACAAAGCTTTTACCCAGCTCTCAAGAGGAGAGAGCAACTGGCTTTACTTGATCTTTCTCACATGATCCCGGCCTTCAAGGACACCCAAAGGCCTTATTTCTAACTGGTTTCTCCACTAGTCCCCACACTTGCTTCTGTTCAATTTCTGAGTATTCTTCCTGCTGAGGCTGCCTGCCCCCTGGACCCTGTGTCCACTGCCCATCTCTGGTCCTAGGCAGGTACACTGGCCTGCTTGGGGTAATGAGGACCCATCAAAGTACCTACGAACTTTGAGTACCTTTGACTTGAGGAAAGCTAGACCTTTCCCTATTTATTCAGGTGACTTGCATTAGACAATTTGAAAAACAATTCGCTGTTGTGGTTTAGAGATGAGATTTCCCTCAAAAGCTCATGTATATAAGGCCAGGCAAGAAAGTTTACAGATGAAATAATAAATGCATTGATCCACTTGAATGGATTAACTGGGTGGTAACTATAGGCAGGTAGGGTGTGACTGGATGAGGTAGGTCACTGGGGGTGTGCTTGGGGGTATATAATCCATTCCTGGTAAGCAGAGTGCTCTCTCTGCTTCCTGAGTGCTATGTCCTGAGCTGCTGTCCTCCACATCCTCCACAATGTTCCTCCTCACTCAGGCCCAGCGCCATGGAGTCAGCCATCTATAAACTGAGACCTTGGTTTATACAACTCCCTACTCTAAAATTGTTCTCGTCAGGTCTTTTGGTCACAAAAATGAAAAAACTGACCAAAAAAATCCATGTTTTAGACTCTTTGGGGTCCAGCCATCTCAAGATTTAGACCTCTATTTTTCCTGGCCTCTGTGCCCTGACTCCTGCCTGACAGTGTTGGGGCATTTGTGTCTGACTATGACCTGGCCTCCACTCCAGCTCAAAGCTCTTTGCCCTGCAGCCACCTGGAATTCCAACATCAGTGCTTATTTCCCCCGTCTCCCGAAACCCCCTCTTCTACATTTACTCTTTACAGAACTTACTTGGAACAAGCTCCTAGATCTCTGCCACAGTCTTTTGCCCCAAGAAATAGGGAGCAACTTGCCAATTGTCAGAGAAGAATATATCTTCTCCCAGATCAATATGAAATTTGAATATATAAGATGGACCCCTGCCATTGTTTAAAAATCTCTTATGGTGATTCTAATCTAATCCTGCTGCCTTCTAGGATGCAACAAGCCCCAGAGAGCAAGTGGCATGAAGAGGCATTACGCCTGGTGCTGAGAGTTCCTTGCTACCCATTCTCATCTGCCCTTAAGGATACTATATATTAAAAAAATTTTATACCAGGGTTTGAACCCAGGAGTGCTTAACCACTGAGCAACATCCCCAGCGCCCCCCCCCACACACACACACACACACTTTTTTGAGATAGGGTCTCACAAAGGTGCTGAGGCTGGCTTTGAACTTGTGATCCTCCTGCCTCAGCCTCCTAAACTATAGGATTACTGGTGTGTGCCACCATGCCCAACAGAATATTTAATATCCAGCAGATGTTAGCCCCTGGGAAGACAGAGGCTTGGGCCTCTGTAGACTCATCTAAAGCAAAGAAGTGCGGTGGGAAAAAATAACAGGGACCTGTAAGGAGTGCCACACAGCAGGTTCTTGAGGTCATGCACCAATGAACCATGCATAGCTTTCCAGGAGTCAAATTTTGCAGTTAGGAATAAAAGGGAAATGCAGGGGCAGTGTGGCAGTTCTTTGGCTCCAGTGGAAGCACCAGACCTGGAGCATGTGGCACCAAAGGTACTCCTGCTGCCACAAAATCCTCCATCTCAGATCCTACAGGGGAACCCTCTAAGAGGAAGGGAAACAGACCTGCTCAAAAGACTGCTCCACTAACTCAGGACTGGGACTTCAGCTGTTGATCTGTCCTGCACAATACGGGGATCAAGGCATGTGACACCCCAGGAGAATGGTGCTGTGAGGAGCCAGCAGCACTGAAACTGTCCTACCAGGACAGAGCAAGCAGACAGTCCCCTCCCCTGCAGCATGACTCTCCCACCATCCTTTTTAAAAGCAACCCCATAGCCAGGGTGCAGAGCTCCTGGGTGCCTGTTGGAGGCCCAGAGGCCAAGTCCTAGGGTACGAATACAGCCCCTGCCAGCTGTTTACCCTGGGGTGTTACTGTTCTTTCTGAGCCTCCAGTGCCTAAACAGTCACTGCCTATTTATCTCAGGGAGTCAAGATAAAACAAACATGCACAGTCTGATTCTAGGGATAGAGATCCAGTGTGATCCTAAATGCCATTAATATATTGTCCAGCTCAAGGGAGGCATAGGGCCTTTAGTTCAAGGCAAAAGGCACATGGGGAGGGATGTCAGGAGAAATAGTTCCAGAGTTGGTGGCAAGTGGGGCCACCTCTAGAGGGTGATGATCCTAGGATATCAGCTTTTAAAAAGTGTTTAAGGACCCAGAAGAGTGAGAAAAACTGTCCTCAGAGGTAAAGAAGTGTCCAGTCTGGCTTCAAGGTGCAGAGTTAGGAGATAGAGGTTGATTTTAGTTTAGTACAAGCTACTTTTCATCATCAGAGCCCTCTCCTGGCCTTAGCAGCCTTCTATTCTGTTCCTGAACACTGAAGTAATCAAGCAAAGGCAGATTGACTGCCGGGACAGAAAGGTCCCCTGGTGAACTAGACCCATAGAGGCTCCACTAACTCCAAGCCTCTACCTCCACAATGCTCTCTGGAATAATCTTTGTGAACCCAGATTTGGGCTTCTACTTGCCTCTTGTCTTGTGGGTCCAATTGCCTCCCAAATGGAAGGAGATCTCAGGCCCTGCCTACCCTTCTTTCTTGCCTTCTGTGGACACTGGGGTCTGTGTCTTAACCATCCTGAAGAGTGTCCCCATACAGCTTGAAGGACTATCAAGAGAGGGCCTTTTCTGGCTTTTCCCACCCCCCAGGTGCTAAGATGTGCTAGTTATTCACTCCTCTCAAATTCATTCTCCCTGTTCAGGAGGCTGGCCCCTGTGGACTTGCCCTGTGGCTTCCAGTTCAGCCAGTAGGAACAGAGACATGGGATAGCGGGTACAACATCCTCACTTCCTCCTTGCTCCAATGCTGTGTCTTTGGAATTAACTATGACCTCACAAGGGCTCTGGAGGCCCAGGTTGCCCAGTGCCTGCACTCGTCAGGCTTCCTAACAACACTCCCTCCACCTTTCCCTCCAGTCCTAGGAGTGGTAATGGCTTCCCACAGTTGCTAGTCTGACTCTACCAATCTTTCCTGCCCTGCTCTTTAATTTCCAGTGATGCTTCACCAGAGGTGAAGTAACGCAGGCATCCGAGTTAATGCAGCTGCTTAATGGAAGCTTGCAACTCATATGTGTGCCTGAATCCAAGGCTGGGAGTGGACATGATGATCAGCTGCAGGGCCCAGATTATTCTGAATGGGAAAGTCACTTTCCTTTATGCTGAATGAACAGCATAGAGGCCAAATTTGAAAAAAAAATAAATTACCAGAAGAAGTTGGAAGTCTGAACTTTTTCATAAAACATCTTCATTTCTAAGTGTGGCTCAAATTTATGAGCTGCTCTGTAGTCCCAGAAAAAATCTGTCCAAAGGTCACCATCAACTAGCAACCTCTACTCCAGAGCTGTTGGCTCTCAGGCTCTGCCAGGTCTTCTCATGTCTCTGTGCCTTCAGTTCTCTTTCCAGGAATAATTTTTTTCTACTTCTTTGCCCAAGCAAACTTCTTCTGTTCCTTCACAACTCATGCCTCGCTTTCTGAAGCCTTCCCACAGCCTCATGAGAAGATAACACCTCCTCCCAGGGCGCCCAGAGCTCTTCATGCATACATCTGTTAGAACACTCATCTCACTGTGCTGGACTGCTTGTTCCTCCCTGGGCACAGGATGGTGGGGCCCAAGACTAGTCAGGGAGGAACAAGCAGCTCCTCAAGGTCAAGGATCTGTCCTGTGCATCTTTGTAGCCCAAGCATTGACTCCTATGCCTGAGGCATGGCAGGTAAGGCAACAACATTTTACTGGGAGAAAAAAAGTGGATATATTGGGCTTTAGGGCC